CATTTCTGAACTAGTATTTATGAGGAGATTCTTTCCCAATAGTTGTTGAGGTCTCTCAATGCCCAGTGGTCCAAGAAATCATTAAATTAACCAGCACCTAATTTCAGTAACCTAATTTGAGTGACAGTGGGTTTCTGTGACACAGGGATGTTGAAAGAAAAGAATTAGTTTGGCAACTTTGTTCCAGTCAGGATGCTCCGTGACTTCTGTAACTGGCTGTGAAGTGTCCTCATGCTTAGATATTTGTCTTTTGGGGGCAGATGATTCCCATGGAGTACAGTTGCAGGCACACATTCCAGATACCTTGGATGTTACTGGATCTACTACATTTCATGCTATTCCAGAGCATGAAATGGCAACCAAGGTATCAAGGGAGGGAGCAGAGCTGTTTTGGAAGGAAGAACACACAGGACAAAGTGTTTAATGGGGAGGTCCATAAATGGGAACAGAGGCTAGAATACAGCATGGGGAAATAGAGAAACTGGAGGTATATTTGTTGTGTAAGAGAGTTAGAAGTAACAAAATCAGAAAAGGTGAGAAAGAAGACTCGCAGAGTGGTTAGGAACAGGATAAGGACAGCTGGAAATGCCCCGGAAGAGCCTTCAGTGATTACAGAGAAAGATCTGCTTTCAGATTGAACTTCTCAGATCAATGTACAGTATTTAAAAGTATGTCATAATAGCTATGAGTCATGTTTTTTTAGCAAACTGTGCTGAGCAAATCTGGTAGTGGTTTGAGTGCAGAGAGAGGAGTGATGTGCTGAAGAAAGTAAAGAAAGGCTGTTCTTTTAGGGCTTCACTAGCTGTGTTTCTTCTAATTTTTTGCTTTGTGAGTGTTTTGATTTTCAAGGAGGTGTGGTTTGGGGGGGGCTTAGAAGAAAACAAAGTTTTGGAAAAAATTGAAAGAAGAAGGACTAAAAGTTAAGAGACCAGGCAAACCCAAGTCAGTTGTTTATTTTCAGCTGATAGTATTACTACAATCTTAAGAAATTCTGCTGATTTATGATTTCTGAAATGATAACAAAACTGACACTGCTAGTTAGAAAAGAATTGTAAATATTATTTTCCTCTGTAGGTATACTGATGTTACAGACTCTTACCATTTTATCATCTTAGTATTGCATAACACAGCCAATTCATGTTTTCCAGAGTTTCCCAATTAACTTAAGTGCTCAGAAGTTTCCATGACCTTTAGGTTCCTTTGTACTCTATGTTGTTTTTCAGAGAGTATGATAGACTTTGTGGTTTACTTCCAGTGTAGCCTTTTTTTATGGAAAAGATGTCACAATGCAAGAAGTCCATGGTTTTGAGTTGTGTTTTTGAGCATTTAATACAAAGCTGATTTGACATATCTTCCTTTTTTCTTTCTAAAAATGTCTTATCAAAGAGGAAACTGTTTAAGTAGCTCATAAAAAGAAATGCTGGCAGCAAAATATCATAATGAAAAAAGTATCATTAGGCTAAATATGTGACAAAAATAATTTGAAGAAGATCACCATAGAGAAGATTGTTGCAGAATATATGCACCTATATCATATTCACTGCTGTAACTGATGCTCACTGTACTTATGGTTCTTGCTTCAGTTTTGCCTGTTGGTCTCCATGACTTGCTGGAAAACCTTCTGTCAAGTTTAGTTTGTCCCGTTCACTCAGATCTGTGTGAGCTCCCAAACACAGGCCTCTGTTCTTCACTGAAATGCTGGAGGTTTCCCAAAAACTTTACCTATGGAGTTGGAGAAGGTGGCAGGTGGAGAGCTTCCAAGGAAGGGTGCATGGATGCCTCAGTGAGTGCAGCACCATATTCATGTGGTGTTTCCCATCCAGACCTAAACTCTTCATCTGTCTGCCTGGGTATAAACAGGGAATCCTCAGGGCTGTCTGCCCCCACCCCTCTAGGTATGTTTTGAGAAGCCTGAGTGTATTTGTCAGAGCTGTTTGACTCTTTATTTGAGGACAGTGCAGAACAGTAGCACCTACTCATGTCAGAACATGTATAGGTGTATATATGCAAAAAAAATATATATAAATACACACACATACACATGCATATACCTATGTGTATGTATATATATATAGGTATATATATATACATTTGCTCCAGTTGCTCCAGTCTCCATGCCCTGAATAAAGGATTATTACCCCAGTGTTGCTTAATATTTAGTAATTATGAAGCCAGAAGATGTTGTTTATACATGCCAAGCCCAGTGCTCTTTTGGTCAATGTTTGTTTCCACACATCCATCAAGGCCTTGCAAAGCAAAATGTGACTGCTGACAAGTTATTCCCACAATGTTGCAAATGTTCACATCTTCCTGCAACCTGATACAAAAAGGCCCCATTGGCAGTTTTTTTCTTTTTAACTGAAATTTTATTGAAAAAATGCAGTAGTCTGTGGTGAGTTTACAGTGCATGCAATTATTTCAAGTATGAATAGGGCAGAAAAGTATGAAGAAAATTCAGCTATCATTTTGAAGAGTTGTGATATAGACACTTAATAAATGAATATAACTCATGAGTGTGTGTCTGTATGTTTATATATATGCATAATCAAAACTTGTATGTACCTATATTCATATGATAGATCATAAAAATTAATTAGAAAAAAAAATCTAAAAATAAAGGCAGAAATAGAACAACTAAATATGATAAAACACTACTGTTTTAACTCTTACTGCTGTAAGAGGAGGACAAACCTCAGCTTCACTTTTATGTTCCTTAAATGATTTTTAGATATGTACATGAATGAGACTCCTTTTCCCAAAACTGCTTAGGAGATTTTATTCTGTAATAGCCTGTGCTTTTTATCTTCTGTTCTGCAGAAGAATCTGAAACCTGTTAAGGAATGAATTTATGTCTATTTCTAAACTTCAACGTGGTGCTTTTTCCAAGGCTGTTTTGAAGAGAGGGTTTGATTTTGGCTTTAGGGGAGAAGTGTTGCCACAGTGTTGTCTCTTCCTGCACACCTGGAAACCATGGCACAAGAAGGAACTGAGACCAAGCCCAGAACTGGTGTTCTCTGTCTTAAGGCATCTCTCCTCTGAATAAAGGCATCTCTTGAAAATGGTTGTGCTTTACAGTGGTGAATGAGTGCTACTGCAACTGAACTGTTGTCTGTTAAATGTAATGTCTCACTTAAATTTTGGCCTCTCGCTCTTTAGTGTGTGTGTGTGTGTGTGTGTGTCCCACCCCTAATTCTCAGGTGGGTGTGTTATGGGTGTGGGGCTGAATTTATAAACATTTTATGCTGCTGAAAAGAATAAGAAATACAAGGGTTTGGCTGTGTGACTGGAAAACTACTTTTAATATGTGTTTGTTTTCATACTTGGTACATCTGACTAGGCCAAGAAACCACTCTTTTTCTGACATTGAAACTGTTTCTTTACTTGTCTGTACATAATTCCTAATCCGTTTTTTTAACCTCTGATTATATTTCTAATAGTAAATGGGTCTGTTCATTAGTCTAAAAACGTAGTTTTCATGCTGGAGAGGTTCTTTGTCTTTTGCATTTTTTTTTTGACTTCTATGTAGGCTAAAAAACTGAGTGCTCTTTCCCAACCTGATAGGGTCAGATATTTGTTTTGTTTAAAGAAGCTAAAGGTCTGATTGTTGTTTAGGTGACTGCTTTGTGGTCTTTCCCTGTTGTGAAAGAAAGTTGTGTTTTAGCCAAATGAATAGTGTAATATTGGTCAACAATGATTAGAACCCCCCTGAATGTTTTCTCTTATTTAGCATTAGTTGCATTTTATGTATTATTTTCAATTTACCTGCTTCCTAGGTTAAGTGACTGATAATTAATTGTAAATGATTATTTCTTTGAAGAAAATGTCAATGAGACAGAAAGCTTTTTCAATTTTAGCATTTTGTCATAAGTGTGTGTGCATGGAGGAAACAGATATTTGTGCCTGTATGGATGCATTCATGATGGGTGCATGTATAAATATGCCTATGTCAGCTTTCTCCTTCTTTAGCAGGACATCAGATCAAGTAAGGCATCCTAAAAATTATGTTTTACCTGTATTCATTGCTCACTGGCTTATGTTATTTAAAGTTACATCAGTCAATACTTCACTGCTACATGTACTGAATAGTAGTGAGTGACATGAATTTTCTTATCCAAACTGATACAAGCTATTCTGATGAATGCTAAAGCACTAAAATATTTGAGATAGATTACCTTTATTCTTTTGTTAAAAAAAAGAAGCTCTAACTTCACAAGAATAATGACTAGGCTAGTCATTTTGTACTGTAGGCCATGTTTACAGGATTACGGTTTGTATATGTGCTTCTGCAGATAATTCTGGGATTCAGTTCTGTTAATGAATTTAGATATCAAAGGCTCTGAACATACAGAAATATTTGGATCCTGAAAAAAAAATAGTATTCTTATCTGAATGGAGATAGATACTGGTTGCTTGAATATCTTTTGTCTGAAAATTGCTGAGCTATAATTATACCATAACTAAGATATAACCAAAACTAGAAATATGTCTGTTTCTTTCCAAACCAGCTACATTGACTTTTCTCTTTGGTAGAGGTTTACATGCTATGAATTGTGATTTGTTTCTTTTGTAGTATTAATTCACAGTGGAGCTGAAGCAGGGATTTTGTTTTCTTAGTGAAACCTGCTTTTGTTGACCACTTAATTTTGCCTTTGTCTACGCAAGACTTTTCTGGGAGTTGTGACCATTCTTTTTACCTTTGTTTTCCATGATGTGCAACCTAGTGGCATCTCAGTTGGTAAATGAGTTAACAATTCATTCCCCATTGGCAAAAAATTAAAAAGAAATTACAATGGAAATGCTCATGTGTCTCTTTTTATTCTAACACAAAACAAAGAGAAACAAAAAACCTCTTCCAAGAATGTAATTGAATATAAAGTAATCTTGCAAATAGCCAACTTATTGTTAATGGCTCAGTTTGGGTTTTTTTAAAATATTATATAAGTTAGGAGTTGGCAGGTTTAATAATTCTTAACACAAGTTTGTTTCTTTCTATTTTGTAGATAACTCTGATGAAGCAGATTTATGGTTGCTGAACAGTTGTACAGTAAAAAATCCTGCTGAGGACCACTTCAGAAACTCAATCAAGTAAGTTGTTTCCTTACAAAGATTTTTATTTTTAACTATCAGTGAGTATTGCGTGTCTTAAAGCTCTGTGTTTTCAATCTAGAAGTTATTTTGTGTTTTAGAGCAATAAATGTGCTGAGTTTATGTTACAATGGTGAATTCTCTAGAATGGATTTGTAAGGTAGACTGGAATTTTAAAAAATAGCAATAACTTGCAAGTGATTATCACTGCACTTATTTAGGGGAACTGCTGACCCATATAGGGACTTTTATATCACTTTTTAAGACAATGTTGTAATAGTCTTCTGAAGAATTGACTGCGCTTTTCGTTTTGTTATTTGCTTTTTAATATATGAAATGTTAGGTTGTTTCATTTTTCACCTACTTAAATATGGCATAACTGGCACCTGCTTTTCAGTGGTGGGCAGCAGTGGCCATAAATTAAATGAGAAGAAGTACCTTAACAAGAAGTACCTTAACATGAGAAAGAAGTTCTTTATGTTGAGGGTGTCAGAGCATTGGAACAGACTGGCCAAGGGGGTCACAGAGTCTCTCTCTGGAGACATTCCAAACCCACCTGGACATGTCCCTGTGTCACCTGCTCTGGGTTACCCTGCTTTGGCAGAGGGTTGGACAAGATGATGTCCAGAAGTCCCTTCCAACTCTACCAATTCTGTGATTCTTTGTGAAGGGTAATATACTTAAAACCAGCTATTTCACTGTGCATTTTCTTGAAAGATTAGTTGATTAGCCTATAACAGAAGTCTTGTGAAGAATGTTTTATTACTCAGTACCGTTCCATTGATGTCAAACAAAATGACATGGTAGTGATTTTGCCTCCAATTTCTGCAGAAGTGTAGTTATGGTGAGAGTAACTGGAAAAACTGTACACATACAGCTGCCCAGTATAAAGAAATACTGTGGTGTGTGTTTTGTAGATTTTACATTTAGTACACAAGTTTGGGTATTTGTGCAGCCATTTGTTTAGTGTGGTGCTCTGGGGATGGACTGGCTGTTGAAATCCATTGTGGTTAGAAACACATAGTTCTTGGGAATGGAAAGAGGAGAGAAGAGAAGCTGGATATAAGCTACCTGTTTGCAATGCTGGAGTTACTAACAGGATCTCAGAGATATAACCTGGAACAGAAACCACTTGCCTGCTGTAGGTGGCACAGCAGAAATTTCCTTCACCCCTGAGAGTGCTTCACTTTCTGGCTGCTGGTGTTGCACTTGGTGACCAGAATGGCTTAGGCCTTTCCTTCTCTGTTGCCAAAAAAAAAAAAAAATCAAAAAGGCAAACTATTCCCAGAATACTTCCAGCAGTTAGTGTGTGTTGGCCAGCAGAACTGATGACAAGATACTTTCCAGCTCAGTTGTGGCCATCCTTCTATTTTACTCATCCTGTGCCAGAAATGATGTGGTATGGTGTGTGTCCCAGCCAGGAGAATAGAGTTAGTTAAGAAAGAGGGCCTAACTGAAAGCAAATGACCAAAAATATTTCTTTGAAGAACAAGTTTCTGTTGCTGCTCTGTTCATGAACCTGATGTTACTTGTAGCCTGGATTTATTCTTTTTTATCCTTACATCTCCCTATACTTGTTCTTTTCCTGTAGCATTCATGCTCTAGTCTCAGATCCTGGCAGTTCCCAGCCATGGAGAATGACATCTTCTGTAGTTGTTTCTGATTTTTCGTATTGTTGCATTAAACACAAGGGAAACACATTGTCTCTTCAAGAAGAACAACTTCTCCGAAATAGTTCTTAATTTGTTACAGCAAAAATGCAATGCATGAAGTTTGGGTGATAGAAAATGAACTGCCATTATATCCTGTTACAGCAGCTTGTTGGTAACTATGGAAATCTTTTTTTTTTTCTGAATTGACTAACAAAATAAACATGTAGTGTGCATGTGTGTTGTCAAAGCAAACATGCTTGGAGCAGAAAAATTAATACCCAGCCCTGTAAAATTCTTCTTTAAAAAAAAAATCAGTCTGAAACTGTTACATTGTATTATGCCTGTTATTGAGAATAGTATTTATTCTCTGCCTACTGCAACAGTTCCTACATTGCTTGAATATATGACTTTTAAATGCATTGATTCAAACTAGTGGTAGTGTGTTCCCACTGGTGGTTAGAGAATGGCTGTGAAAAGCTGATCACTCACTAGTAGCATGGGCCAAAGAATGTGTCAGAACCCAGCAAGTCCTGTAGGTACAACCTTTTTGGTCTGGTTTTCTTCTAAAAAAGGAGCAAAACCACTCCTAGATGCTCTGAACCTTTGCAGATGTGTATACAGCTGATACAAGATGACTGACAGTACAATCTTTATGCTTGTTTTTTTTTTCTTATAGCTCTTAGGAATAGTCTCCTTCAGTATCAATAAAGTTAAACTTGCTGAACTAGAGTAATGGTAGAGAGGGCAAAGTGTTGTTTAAAAACATTAGCTTATAGATGGGAATTGAGTTCCCTGGGCAGATTTTATTCTCAGTTGATTAATCTTAAAATAAGATTAAAGAGTTAGGCAATAGCAGTAAAGAATTCCCACTATAATTAAGTGGGTGGAGTTTAAAAAAAATTATTAAGGCTTATGTTTTGATTAGTGATGGATCTACCTCTTGTGCTTTGTAGAGTAGTTGCTGGGCATTCCAAGAAATTAGCAGCTTTTAGAAAGTTCAATTTTTTGAAGTTGACTTTATTTTCCCTTAAAATAAAATAATACTTAGAAAATGATCTATTTATTTAAAAGTCAGTCACATTATTTTTTTTGCAGATAATGTTTCAGTATGATATCTTTGTTTTGGACCTGATCATCTGTCAGTGTGACCAACATGGATGAGTTAACTGTATATGTATATGTGTGTTTACTTAACACACACATATATAAACAACAAAACAATAACATATTATAAATACGTAACATATGTAACATATTATAAATAAGTATAAATAACAAAAAAATAAGTAAAATATCATTAAATTTCTTCCAAAGAGATGTCACTATTTATTTGTTTTGGGGGATGTTGGTTGGTTTTTTTGTGGTTCATGTATGTGCTTCTGCTTATTGTGTTTGTGGTATTTCTGTTTGTTTGGTTGTTTTTTTTTCTCATTTGCAGAAGGTTATCAGGTAACATTTTCTGCTATCATTTATTTTAGTTAAAAGTAGTTTTCTTAAAACTTAGTTGTTGGTAATAGCAAGAATAAACATTCAAGAAGTAAGTTACTAACCTTAACTTGTGTAAACCAGAGTAAATCTGGTAAGACTGATGAAGAGAATTAAGCTCAAGAGCATGTGCTAGAGGAGCTTGCTTCGTTTGAAGTAATGTTATTTTGCTCTTCAGTTTCACGCTCCATTAATTTCTATGTGCTCTGATACTCTTTTCTTGACTGTTACATCTCAGATATATAACCCAGTTTTCCTGATGCCTTCTGAAGATTCAGAAACTCTTGAGTGTTTCTAGCCTAGCTGTCTTTTCCCTTGCTTAATCCTTTCCTAAGTGCTGGTATAAGTTACTCATGTGTTTGGGGACTTTGGCTTTTCCTTAAGGAGTTCTCCTTCTGGTTGAAGTATTTTGGAGAGGAATTTGGTGGCTCGCTTATAAAAACAGCCAGAATGATGTCTGGGAGGAAAGATGTGGTTATGCTTTTGAGGTGTCCATAGCTTGTCTCATGCTATAGAAAAAGCCTGACCATTATAAATAATCATCTTTGTTACTATATACAATGAGCATGTAGCATTAACACACATTCTCTGATATATTTGTTGCTGCATTCACTTTAAGGCATGCTCCAGTGTGTGTTCAACCCTTTTCTTTCTGATAGCTATGAGTTGTGACAGAGATGTGAGGGCTTTTAGCACTGAAGTAGCACCATGTGGCTTCCAGTTCTGTCCCTGCTACAGTTTTCACCAATTCATGAATAAACACTGTGTGGGGCATCTCACTTTCATGCTAGAAGGAGCATCAAAACCCGTAGAATTTGTGGAAATGTTTGTTTAAGAGGACTGTGATTGTAGACATTGCAAGTTGTTTAAAGCTCTCAGTGGATTAAATTGAAGAGTAAAAGGCATGACTGCCTTTGGATGATACAGGATTTCTGTTAACCAAATGCAACTGTGTTGGTGTTAAGTACAGAAGGAGGTTATTTAAGAAATACAAAAGCTTGTTCAGAGATAAGAATAATTTTCTGCTGCTTGAAATCTTTGCAAAAGAAAATAACCCTGGAAGAAGGTTTTTTGTTGTTTTTTGTTTTCTATTTTCCCAACATTTATGAATGTAATTTATATGATGCATTTTGAAATGGAGCAAAATGAAAAATTGCACACTATGCAGAATTATCACTTTTTTTAATGCAGCATTAGTCCTTTTGCTGTCCCTAATACATTTCCAGTGTAGAAGTAGACTGTGATTTAGAGTTGTTTATACTGTTCATGCAATACAATCTAAGCTGTAATGTACTTCCAGGAGAGGAAACATAAGTATTTCAAAGCTCTTTATTTTATACATCCTCTTAACATGAGAAGATGACTTCCCCCAGGTGGAAGTTTCTGAACTGAGTGTCAGAGCCTGGCTGTTGCATTTTACAGAAACAGAGTGTTGTCATGACTTGGGGTGTTTGTGTTGGAGTACTTAAGGTACCAAAGCAGTATTGAGAATTGTAGGTAGGGGTACTGCTGTTCCCCACTTGTACTGAAGAAATCTAAGGAAGGCCTGGATTCTCTAAAGTAAAAATACCTGCAAAACAAAATGCATTGGGTGGGAGGAAGTTGGACACTCGATTTCTTTTTTCCTTAAGACTTGCCAACAATACTCCTTGCTCAGACTCTCTAAACTAGTCTACATCATGTTGGTGAAAACCTTGCTTTTTGCCAGGATGAAAGGCTCACACACCTACAGATTGGCAAAGTGCTTGTATTCAAGATTCATACCATATTCATAGTGAGAGAAACTCCTTCCCCAGCCAATAGGAGTTACTTGGTTTTGAGTGAAGGCTGTAAATCAATTAGCTAGAATTGAAAGTCACATTT